AATGCGAATATTTTGCAAGTGGACCGATAAAACGTATATATGGCAAAAAAAAAAATTACATATTGTAGCCAATATTTTTGCCTGTGGTCGTAGGAGTATTTGTGTAACAAAACTGATCAAATGTCATATTTATAAACTTTGATAAAAATGTCTTTAAAATATAATTTCTTAAGGTATATAACCGAGCTACCAATGGGCAGCCATAAAAGTTCCCACTTCTACTTGACCTTTTGATGTTATAGGCGGCATACACGGTGCGTCTGACTCGTGCGTCGGTTTGGATGTGTTTGTGAAAGCAAATATGTGTTAGTTACACCAACATGACTCTGAATGATTCAACTGTGTGTAGTCGAAGGCGAGTCAACACGTAAACAAATGACTCGTATTATAGTATTAAAAATGAATTACAAAAACTAAAATCGAAAACTGCTGATAAAGTTACAGGTTCTCCAAATTCTGAAACAACATGACATACATATGTATCTGGTTTGGCTTGTAAGCGCTGTTTAAACAACGATCTCGCCATTATGCTAGATTCTAATTGTTTTTTAAAAATACTTGACATCCGCATTCGCATCCGCATCCGCGGATGTTAGCTGTTAGATATTCGCATCCGCATTCGCATCCGCGGATGTCTAAAATTTCACATCCGCAACATCCCTAATACATACATATGTATATATGTATACACAATGTGGGGTCGATATAAGGCGAAGAGCTTGAAATGTTGGCTGACCGGGGGAACGGAGGCAAATTTTATCAGAATGTTATGCGACTTATGGCGGTTTTCAAAACCAGGATGACCTACTCGGCGCCTAGTGATCGCTCACACTTTTCCGCCCTGGTCCAACATGGACATAGTGCCGCCAATCAAAATACAGCCCCTGCGCTGGCTTGGCCATGTTGTTCAAATGGACACCAACGCTCCAGCTCTGAAAGTGTGCAACTCGAAACCTGCTGGTTGTAGCAAAGGAAGAGAAAAGCCCCCACTGCGATGGAAATACCAAGGGGGGAAGGACTTGGCTTCACTTGGCATTTCCAATTGGTGTCAGTTGGGATAGAAGAAACGACTATCGTGCTTTTTTGAACTCGTCCAAAATCGCTTAGGCGGTTACGGCGTAAATAAAGAAAAAATAATAAAATAAAAATTAAATTTGAATAAAATTCTACTAATAAATATTATGATAGCCCAATTCTTTATCGGTGACAAATTTTTTTTTACTGACGAAATTAAATTTTTTCATATATTTTCCGGTAAAAAAAAACTGTGAAAAGAATTTGAATAGTTTGTGAGTGAGTGACGGAGAATATCTGTTGCTCTTTCACACTTAAACGGCTATACGGTTTTGGAAAAAGTTTGGCACACAAATAGCTTATGCTCTGGATTAATACCATAGGATATTTCAGAAAGAGAGTTGCTTACTGTTTAATACGTTAAAATTAATAAATTAACAAGTAAACTAGAATTTTAGAGCAATGTGGGGGTCGAACGAAAGAGTTTCGAAGCAATTTATTTCGAAAATATTTTTGAAGAGGGTTGCCACCAGTTTTAAAATTCAAAATAAATTTATACAACAAGTAAAGAGAGAGATTTGAAAAATCTTTGTTTCGAAAATGGAAGAGGTTGCCACATGATTGGAAATGCAAAAACAATTTAATTCACAAGATAAATTAAATATTTTAATATGATTGTCAAACGAGAGAGATTTATGTATGCTCTTTTTCTGTATTTTTTTAAGGAAGTGGCCACCTGCGCAAATAGTTAAATTTAATTAAATTAATAAGTTAATTAGAACCTTTTAATATACATAGATAATTGCTAACCCAAAAGAGTTTAAGATGGCTTTATTTCTGTATGTATTTACATTTTCTAAATGCCTGCCACTTCTTGAGAAATTCAGAATCAATTAAATTATCACATTAAATGAAATATTTAACTAAGCATGTCAAAGGATATACATTTCGAAAGCTTTATTTCGAAAATAATTTTAAAGTGGTTGCCACCTGTTAAAATGTCAAATTCATGTTTATCAATAAGTCAAATCAAATATTACAGAATTGATTTCAAACGAAACAGGTTTAAGCGGACTTGATTTCGGAAATATACTTCGAAGGGGTTGCCACATGTTTAAAAGTAAAATTTAGTTTAATTATTAAATTTATGTCAACGGAAAGAGGTTTAAGCAAGGTTTACTTGGAAAATATTTTTAAAGAGGCTTGCCACCTGTTTAAAACAGAAATTCATTTTTATCAATATCAACCAAGGAATGAAACCGAAACCCAAACCGAAACCGTAACCGTTTAAAACCGTTTCGTTTTTGAAAACCGAAACCGAAACCGTAACCGTTATCTTGACCTGAAAAGGAACGATACCGAAACCATTTCAATCGCAGGTTTCAATCGGTTTCCAGAAATTTACAAAAATAATAAATAAAAATTTCTTTGAAATAAATGATTTATTTAACCAAAATCAGCAACATTTTGCTAAAATTCTTGTTAAGTAGTAAATAAGTATGGCAAGGTAACTTTTCGCAAAAATCTGCTGATGACTTTGTTGTTGTGAATCGATAATCGATTAATTATATTTAAGTAGTTTCTTTCCCGTACGCAATGCGAGATCCCGCGTGTGCCCAAAATAGCCCAGAAATCATGCCTGTACTCAACAAAATGGTTAATAGAGAGCGAAAATTCGAGCGTATTCGATCGTAAGTGTATTCTTCTTCCTGCCCGAAACAGCCCGAAATTTTCTCCGAGTAAAAATGGATAAAGTGTCAAAGTGCATATCAGCTGTATTGTGTTTACATGTTGCCTGCATTCACTTGGTGCTTTTAAGGAAAAGTGAATGGCCGTGTTGATGTATTTTCAATCTATGTACTTAAAATCAGATTTGTGAAACCAAAATTCAATTTCCAAGTGTTTGCATTTAATACCATGTTCTGACCGACAACCAAAACATTTTTCCTTCATTTCCTTTTCATTTACAACCTTTAACTTTCATTATTATTTTGCTTTGGCTAGGCAATTAACAATAAATCCGAAATGGCGTATTAAAGATGATAAAATATGACTTCCACTTCGATAAATAATCGAAGAAAACTAGTGAAGACACCGATTGGAATGAGTGGAAAGTGAGTTTTCAAGTAGTTTTCAGCGAAAACTGGTTTTCGTTTAACAGATTTTATATGGACGAAAACACAAGTTTTAGGTCGAAAACCAGTTTTAGCAACGAAAACATGTTTCCGATGTCGGTCAGAACATGGTATAAGTGACAAAAACAAGAACAACGTGAATCAGCTGTTTCTCGACTTGTGGGCACGAAATGTGGGTTTTTGCGTTTCCGTACTTCTGAACTTTGTTCCATATTTGAAAGAAAATGTTTCTCCTATTCTCTAATTACCAAATCCGGTCCGGATTGTTAGGGAAAGAACCTAGTGTTGATATTATCAGTGAACTGTAATTTTCGAGTTTCTTTCCTCAACGTTTAAGACATTGTGATTTAAATAATATCAACAAAATTTCTGTGAAAAACCGAAACCGGAACGAAACCGAAACCAAAACCGAAATAAATTTTGAAGAACGAAACCAAAACCGAAACCGAAACACTTGGCAAAACCGAAACCCAAACCGGAACGTTATTTTGAATCGGTTTCATTCCTTGATATCAACTCAAATATTACAAAATTGATGTCAAACGAAACAGGTTTAAGAAAGATTTCTTTCGAGAATATGTTTCGAGAGGGTTGCCACCTATTTAAAAGTCAAATTCGATTTAAATAACATACATAGATATGGAACGAAAAGTTTATAAGAAAGGTTGCTACTTGTGTATAAATATAATTCAATTTGATTAAAAGGTTTTCTTTCGTAATTTCACAACTCTAGACAGTAAGCAACTTTTTTAAACAAAACTTTGTTACATTTAAAACTGTGTATAACGTTAAACGAAACTTCACGGGTACGGAGCTGCGGACAAAAGCTAGTATTAAATATTGCTTACGGTAATTAAAAGTAGAAAGCCACTTTGTACGCATGTTGTGGCTGCTACTGCAATTTCCTTTCAAAATTGTTGAATTTCACACAACTTCAATATTACATATGTACTTGCATTT